TATATTCTCTATTGAAAGAATTTTTTAAATAGCACTTTATTAAGGATATTCTCATGGTTTTAGGCAAAATTTTACCGATTTTTCATTTTCAACTTTATTCGATGGCTAACACTATGTGCCACCTGTGTACATGCTCATTTCTCCATATAACGGTACATGTAAACTTTTAGAGCGTTTTGATTGCCCACGTACACGTGTAGTGAGCAGCAGCTGACGTTACTGATGACGTCAGAGACATTATACAACCATAATTTTTATGATATTCACTACGCCAGTATCATTCAGCATCAACCCTCCTACAGCTGTCATCTGCCAGTAATAGTTGAAATTGCCGCGCGACCGAACATAGCCCCGTTTCCCTTGTTACACCCCTTGCATTTAGGCGCGTGTTTGTTGACACATAGCTTAGTAACGGCATGCGGTACACATCGTACGCGCGTTTTGCATGAAAGTGCGGTGGTAACCTCGTAATTTCTCATAATTTCTCAAGGTGCATGGCACATATTACCAATTTAGTGGTGTCAGTTAGTCATTGATATGTCACAGTAAGTACTAACAGTAGATGTTTCACATACGTTCGCACACAGGCGGTCGATCATTGTGAAAAATAGAAAAACGCTGATTTCTCCGTTTCGATTTCTGACATAGTAGCCGATGTATAAATGGATATTTCTCTGTGATTACAACTCGGATTAATTTAATTTTACACTCGTTTTAATGGTAACATATTGCTGTAAAGACGCGCGTCAGGGATTGTTATTAAGTGCCGTATTTTATTAGCTATGCCTCTTTATTCGCTAAAATTTTCAATTCTAACACAACTTGATTTTTAAGCAGTTTTTTTCATTTTTCTCATTAAATATGAAACTTAAAGAAAAATCCAGATGCGCTATTTTGGTACATATTGTGCTTAACCTGTGGCGAAAATTTTGCTTCCTCACTTTTTGTTGTAATTGAGAAATATCCAAAATACCATTTTTACATAGAAATTCAAAATTTGTGTGGTAACATAATTAGGTGCTGGAAATTTCATGAAATTTTTTGGCTTGAGCATAGAGATATATCTCCTCTATAAATAAAACGTGTGATTGATTTAATTCATTCGTCAATAAACGTTTAATCTTCATTAGAGCAATACCCGTGCAAAAGGTTGAGAGTATCCGAGAAGATACTGGGCATGCGCGAACAGGGGGTTATCGCACGATTATGCACCGTATGATTGGCAAAGTGAGAGATTCGGATAAAAACCCATACACACACGCACGCACGCACGCACGCACGCACGCACGCACGCACGCACGCTCGCACGCACGCATGCGCGCACACACACACACACACACACACACACACACTATATATATATATATATATATATATATTTATACTAGTCATTATTATTATTATTATTATTATTTCCAAAGTGGATCACGGCATTAGCCGGTGGCTTCTGGGTTGACCGTGTCCCAACCTGGGACATAGGGATTCAATCCAGAATTTTTTCGCAGGATGTGTGCTGTTCCCAGTAGTGCGATTTTCTGCACTTCTTGGGCGGTGTGGTGGCCAGGGAGTTCCTTAAGGTTCTTCTCAAAACCATTCTTTATAGAGCCAAGGGCTCCAACCACCACTGGTACAATTTTCGTCTTAGTATTCCACATCCTCCTAATTTCGATCTCCAGATCTTTGTACTTGGTGAGTTTGTCTCTTTCCTTCACCATGATGTTAGAGTCATCTGGTACGGCTACGTCAATCAACGATTTTACGAATAATAATAATAATAATAATTGTAATAATATAATAATATTAATAATAATAATAATAATAATAATACGATAAATCGTTATTATTATTATTATTACTATTATTATCATTATTATTTCCTCTAGGTAGGGGAGAGTGGGGCACCTTAAACATAGGGGCACCTTAAACCATTGCTCTCAACTTTTTATTTAGTAAGTTTTTCCAACAGATGTCACCACTGCGTATTCCCCTTCCTGCAAGGGACGTGTTCACCACAATCATTCAGACCTCCTCAAACGACATCAAAATTTGTACAGAAAATCGCCTTTTTCTGCACTCGGAGTAAAATTTTGTGGGTAAGTTGCAGTTTGAATTGTAGTCTATAGATGCTAGATAATTTCTATCATATAATCACATGTTGTAGTCTTAGATAGGATGTTTATGAAGAAAAAGTTTGAAATTGGCTAGGCTTCGTTTTTGCCAGCAAGGTCGTCTCATTCAACATGGCGACTTGTGGGGCACTTTGAACTACAAAACTCGGGGCAGGTTGAACATGGTTCAAGGTGCCCCACTCAATGGTTCAATGTGCCCCATCGTATTGAAACGTATCCATATGATGATAGAAACTCGCATACGCCTTACTATACTAAGTTCTTGAATATTGATACTCACCTTCTTCTGTTCTTGAATATTGATACTACTCACTTTCCATCATTCCAGACCATGGTACGAAACTATAAAACCAAAACGGGTTGCGGCAAAACCGACGGGGGCCTGATGAATAGGGCCGTAGAAGAGGTAATCAATGGCCGATCAGTTCGTCAGGTTAGTCGGGATTTGAAAGTTGACAGGATAACATTATCCCGATACGTGAAAAAACACCTGGCTGGACAGACAGAAAGAAATGAAGATTTCAAGCCCCATTTTAACACCAGGCAGGTATTTACCCAACAAGAAGAAGATGGCTTACAGGAATACATATTAACCTGTTCGCTGATGTTTCATGGTCTAGGGTACGAGGCATCAAGAAAACTTGCTTACGAGTACGCAATCAGAAAGGGAAAAAATATCCCTGAATCTTGGAGACAAAATGGCCGGAAAAGATTGGATGATCGGATTCATGAAGCGCCATACTGGTGTGTCACTGCGCGCTCCAGAAGCCACTAGTATGGCAAGAGCTCAGGGCTTTAACAGGACGTCCGTTAAAACGTTTTTTGAGCTGTGGACGAAAACTCTTGCTGAGAAGAGGTTCGGGGCAGAAGCTGTCTTCAATTTAGATAAAACCGGTATAACAACAGTACAGAACATCCCGAAAGTTCTGGCCAGTAGAGGTTCGAAGCAGGTAGGGCAGATAACTGCAGCCGAGCGCGGGACTCTTGTGACTGTATGCTGTTGCGTGAGTGCCACAGGAAAAGCCTTACCTCCAGTCATAATTTTCCCGAGGGTGCATTTCAAGGAGCACATGACCAAAGGGGCACCACAAGGAACTCTAGGTCTAGCAACACAGACCGGATGGATGAATGGTGAACTCTTTCCAAACGTCCTGCAGCACTTCATCAAACATATGGGTAGCTCACCTGTGGAACCCAGGGTACTCTTTATGGATAACCATGAATCCCATCTTGGAAATGAGGTGGTAGAGATGGCACGAGAACACGGACTGTCTATAATAACATTCCCTCCCCACACGTCACATAAGCTGCAACCCCTTGATGTCACCGTCTATGGACCACTAAAAACGCACTATAAAAGGGCCGTGAACGAGTGGAACCTGAGTAATCCTGGTAAGCGCATCACAATATATGATCTGCCGGAATGTTTCACTAGGGCATTTTTTCGCGCTCTATCGCATGAGAATATCACATCAGGTTTCCAGAAGACGGGACTTTGTCCACTAAACTCTGATGTATTTACTGATGACGAATTCTTAGCGGCTTCTGTCTTCGTAAATCGTAGTCCCGATGCTCCTGTCGATGATTCAGTACCTGGTGACGACATTGCGGAGAACGCAGATGATCAACATGAAAACGTGAATGATAACATTATCACCGAATAGCTCATCTGACCATAAAACTAGTTTTTCGGAGCTAGTAGATCTGAGACCATTGCCTAAACGAAAACCAGCTAACCAGATGAAACCTCGTTCAAGAGCGGTTGTTGGCTGCAAATTAATCACCAGTACTCCGGAAATGAAAACCCTGCTTGAAAAGATGAAACATAAGAAAACAAGAACAAAGAAGGCCCCATCAGCACGGCCAGCAATAGTCCCGGTGCAAGTCATAGCAACTCCAGATGATGATTCTGAAGAAGATGACGATAGCGTCGTACTCACTGATTCTAGTGAGGAATTTGATGAGGTGTTTGTTGACGACTTTGTTGATCAGTCAAAAGAGCCCGGCAAGGACGACTTTGTATTGATAAAGTTTATTCCTTCGAATAAGAAAAGTACAGGTCGTGATGTCTACTATGTGGGGCAAATTATTGAAATTGTAGAGGAAGATGGCGAGAGTCTTTATGATGTAGATTTCTATCGCCAATCCAGTAAAATGCCTGGTCGATTCATCAAGCCAGTCATTTATGACCGTGATAAGGTGGAACGAGGAGACATAACCATGTGCCTACCCCAACCAACCGCCATAGGTGGAACTAAAAGAGTGCAATCCATGATAAACTTTAATGTGGATATTCGTGCCTACAGCATACAGTAGATAATCGACCTTGAACTTGAGATCTGTAAATGACTTCTGTGGTTTGTAGACAGTGGACAATATAGGATAATTTCATTTTTGTGCGAGAAAATTGATAGTTATATGCAGTAATTCGGCATATATGTAATATAAGTTTTGTCTATATTCACAAATTCATCGCGTTTTTAGTTCCTGTATGTTGGTTTAACCTACCCCAAAGCGATGTTCAAGGTGCCCCACTCGTGGGGCACATTGAACCACCTTAACTTGTCATTTTGAAATCAGAAATTCATGAAGCAGAATTCCGCGTTTGTTCTTGCTGCAGTTTATATACTAGAACATGAAGTTTCACTTGAATAACTTTTAGTATACATCCTGTCTATCCCCTAGTTTTTGTTCCGGAAAAACTGAAAACCCTGTTTAAAGTGTCCCACTCTAATTGCTTAGGCTACGGCAGGGATTAGGCATACAAGACTAAATAGGTGTTAATCAAATATAAATATAAATTGGCCTTAAAAACCACAATTTAAGAATAATTTTTCCAAGATTGCTGTATGATCATGTGTGTCTGCATACCTTGATCAAACTGAATGTAGTCGCGGGCTTTCACGGCCTTGCAGGCGTATCGCCTCATGACGTTGGGTGCCATTAGGGCGCTGGCACGGAACAAACTGAAGCATCCTGGACTGCAGAGCACGCATCCGATCATGTGCTCGGTTGCTTTCAACAGCCAATGGCCTATGGCGTACTCGAACTTCTGATACCATATCATTGGGCCTGGAGATAACATGGTCTGGATGGCAACTTCGACTATCAAAACATTTGGTTTAATCAAGTATAATTAAACAATACCGAGTGCATGACCTAGATTATACGACAATTAATGACACCCACGGGCATGCATAAAAGCACGCTTCCCACACGCGTGTGTGCGTTCACACGCGAACCTCACGCCCCTCCGTTGGCCGTCGTACTCAGAAATAATTATTTTGACCGCGGCAGAAATAATTTAACCGCGGATAATTTATTTTTATATGTTATGTATTTCTATTATATATTTGTAGATTATTTATATATATATAAATATATATATATATATATATATGTGTGTGTGTGTGTGTGTGTGTGTTGTGTGTGTGTTTGTGTGTGTGTGTGTGTGTGTGTGTGTGTGTGTGTGTGTGTGTGTGTGTGTGTGTGTGTGTGTGTGTGTGTGTGTGTGTGTGTGTGTGGTGTGGTGTGTGTGTGCCTGTGTGTGTGTGTGTGCGTGTGCGTCGTGTTTGTGTGTGTGTGTGCGTGCGTGCGCGCGCGCGCGCGGGCGCGGGTGTGTGTGTGTGTGTGTGTGTGTGTGTGTGTGTGTGTGTGTGTGTGTGTGTGTGTGTGTGTGTGTGTGTGTGTGTACACACCTAGCACAACCCTAACCCTAGCCCTAACGTAAACACACACACTTTATATATGTATATGTATATGTATGTATATATATATATATATATATATATATATTATATATATATATATATTACCTGAGCCAATGGGGTGAATGCGACCACATGTGGCACCCACAGTTATGTCGCGTTTCATGAGATCCACTAGGAGGCGCACGGCAGATGGTTGAAAATCGACGTCACCGTCAAGTGCAAGAATGTAGGTGTTGTCAGCAGCTACTTGCTTCTCGATGGGTGTGCCTTTCGACTGGTCGATTAGCTTCCATCCCAATAGGTAGTACATATACATGACCTATCAAAAACACACCACACTTTATGGACGAATGAGATGTTTATCGCACACAGACGACAAAAGATGGCGCGGCGATCAGCGCTGATGCCATAGTACCGTCACAAATATGAGGGCTTTAAACCCATGAACTATTTTATCAAAAGCGTATTAAGCATACTTAATACGCTCTTGATCTCATCTATTAATGTGTTCGGAGGAGCTGTTTCCCATGTCCTTCTATGTTATCGCACATGTGTCATTATCGTACAAGATACCTGGCTCCAACGTTTTCGATGTCGTATTTTCGCGCTATCTTTCAGATGAACAACGAGTATATTCTCTCCCGGTAATTCCCACTCTAGTCGACCCCCATACGGAGTAGGAATCTTCTTATAGGTATACTTCGGAAGAGGGGCGCCTGTCACCGCCCTGCATCAAGTACCAATAATCATTATTGACACAGTACAAATCTCATTTATAACTACAATGTAACGCTTAGTCTAGACGGCTAAACTAATAAATTACGGCATACTAACAATTTCTCAAATATAAAGGTAGATTAACAAAAACATGTTGTCATTAGCTGATAAGCAAAAAATGTTAGCAATGGTAAATGAAGAAATACTCGGGTAAAATACACTTAACATGTTCATACTATATAGTTTCTTTTTTTATTATCATGAGATATATTTATTGGTACAGTTAGCAGTTTAAATGTTACGGTATAGTTACGTAAGACGAAAAGTTATTAGTTCTATGGAGTTTAAACCAGGAGGTTACTACCTTCCAAACGACAGGACATAAATGGCTTGATACTGTTACTTTTTTTTCCAGAAAACTCGTGCTAAAGGGCATGAAGCAGTCGAGCGATGAAGCAACACATTGAGAGTGTGTCTGCAGCGTACTTTACCTTGCAGCAACATCAAGGACGCTGATAAAGGTCCTTACAAAGTTGTTCACCACGTAACAGTTGAGATTTTTGTCGAACCTCATTGCATCGTCAAAAAATATGTGCGCTGTTCAAGAAACGAATTGGTAAGGCGTAAGCGAGTAATCCTGTCAACACGTACTCAGTACGCGTACGCACGCGCGCACACGCACAAATGTACACATACGACCACCCACACGCGCACATGCAACCCTTACACACGCTCACGCGCACGCACGCACGCACGCACGCACGCACGCACGCACGACGACGCACAACACACACACACACACACACACACACACACACACACACAAAGACTACAATTACATGGTATGCAGTATAGCAGGTAATGAAATGTAAACGATTCGCACACAATAAAACATAAATACTAAATATTTAAAAGTTTAGTTTTCTAATTGAATATCGAGTATATCCACAGGTTGATTCTAGTGTACTAATGATTGCTGATTCACGCAAAAATATAAAGTTATCCTAAAAAGCACACATGTATTTTACGCTCATCGCACACTATTGTGGTTACTTACCGTCGAATTCGTAATAGTCTGGATCTTCTTTATTCAGGTATTTAATAGCTAGACGACGAGCGCATTGGTCTTTGTCACATCTGTCATATACAAGAAGGGACTACAGAAATCAGCATTATCTACGTATTGTGAACAATCGGCATTACGAATGATGTGCATGTGGCACCGATGTTCCGAACTCTGCGAAACGTTACGCGTTCGTAACTAGAATCTTTACTCAAACTTCAATACAGTACGACAAAACGCGTACAATTCTTTTTTACTTGAGAAAAATGTCATGTTTAAATTGAGCAATTTTACGCGCAGCTATACCTAAATATAGACTTAAGCAGCTGAACCATTTCATTTGATGTTTCATGCCACATGGTAGCGCAGAAATAAATGTGTGTCACGCCATTGACGGTCGCCTGATCGGCAGGGGATGTCTTAATCTCGCCAATGTCCGATTCCATTGTCACTTCAGAGCAAGTTAGGTTTAAGCGTCCCAGATCCTTGTCCTACATAGTAAATAACACCGTAATCGAGCCGTATTACTGCATGACACGAATAATAATAATAAAACATTATGTATAAACATACTTGTACGCAAAAATCATGCTTATAAATCGTATACATTGATAGTGTCTAGAAACGTACTAGTTCTTGGGTTCGCCGGTCATCTGTTACTTTCTTGTCGGGTAAGCGATTCAATGGTGCAGCGGTATCCATGTTGACGATCTCATTAAATGGTTTGATGAACATTCTTTGTAAAAAAAAAACGTTAGCATCTATGAACCAATGTAGTTTAATATAACACACACGAGGCTAAAGTAACATTGATTTTCCCTCACCGTCATGTAAAGCGTTTTATTGAAGATTTAAAATTGTGTGAAATTAGCGAACCAGACAAAATATCAATTATATGTGCAGAAACTTACTTGTTGCGTTTAGCCAACCTTTCTATTGTTGGGAAGAAGACGTGTGATGTAGTATACATTTGCGATAATAGCCACACACACCATATCCACATATGTTTAGTTACAAAGGCATTATTCTCGCTGGTCAACCATGTGCTAGTTCCGCAATTCCAGAATATGTAGTTAGGTAACAGTTTGTAGAGGAAACACTGATTGCTGTCAGCTCGCAGTTTGCATAAAGACATCAGAAGGAGAACAACAAGTGGAGTGCTCAGTGAAATCGGAAAAGCAAATCCAGCGCGCTGTATTTTCACCTTGCAGGAGAACTGAATGATCAGATACCCCATTGCAGCGAAAATAGCCTGGATGAGGAATATCCACAAGACGTCCACGGACGACGATGTCTTTATGTTGCCACTCGACACCATGATATCGTGCCTCTTAAATATCGAACCAAACTCAAACATTTTTGGCTTAGTGAGCGTGTCTACACCAAACGTGACCATCAGCGCAAACGCAATGGCGATTTTCCATATATTGACGAACGTGTAAAGCTTCAATCGCCCGACCTTGTGGTTCTTTCTCATCACTGCGAGTTTGGCAAAGATGCCGATCTTTGCCTTCTCGTTCAGAAACGTCTCCCAGTAGCCGAGCGATGTGCAGACGATCGCAGCAGCCGTGAATCCCACAAGAGTCGCATCTTTCTCAAAAAGAGCGAGCCAAACGAACACCGATGCTTGGGCACATGTGGAGAGTACGTCGACGCCAGTTTTGATATTCGCATTCATTCCGTTCTCGTTGTCGCGATTGAGTGCGCGCATGAGCGCCGGAATTAGGCATAAGCTGTTGGTGATCATGGCTCCAGTCACTGCATCAAAGGCCGGTAGAACTCTGAATACTAGAATTCCAACTCCCACGGAATGGATGGTTTCGAACAAAATTGTCTGCATAAATAGAATACGATGTCGGGGTTTACTTGGGAGAGAAAATCAAGTAAACAGATCAAAATACCACACCGCTCATGTTGAATAGCATCATGTCTAATGTAACTGTGATTTTTACGGGTCGTATTTATGTCAATAATTAATATCATCTCTGTGTTAAGGCGATGTGCATGCCCCTTACATTTACATCGTGAAATATTATGGAATATAGATAATATACTTACGAGAATAATGAGAACTGCCGGCAACTTGTTCGTCCGCTTGAAGAACAAAACTTTCATGCACGGATATAGGCTCAAGATATGAGGAACGGAGAGCACAAACCACGAACACCAGTACCAACGTGAAAAGGCCACAGTATCCGCGTAAGTTCCGTTTCCCTCGTAGATCGTCCAGTCGCTGCAGATGCTGAGATAGTCGCTACCAATGCCTCTTACCACTGGATAGAGTTGTGTCACCATCAGAAAGAAGGCCAATTTGGCGACGGTGGTGAACGATAGCACCAGCACGAATGATACGATGTAAACGATGACTTTAAGGGTCTGAGTAGCGTAGTCCCAGCATTTGTTCTCTTCGTGATCACCGTCGGCGCTGTCGTGCATGTAGAACAGATCCCAGTCGTTGACGGACGCGTTCGATGTAGCGCACGAATTATCCGCGCAGTCTGTCGAGCCACTGCGAGAACATTGCACAATATTAGTGCCGTGACGATTGAATTGCCGCGTGTCTGGGAAATGATTAATGTGTGAAAGGGATGGCAAGAATCACTGAGTAACCGCGACTAAGAGACGAAAGTGCGATATATAGCGGCCAAGCCTATTTTGTTTAATAAGATTAGTCAATATGCGAGTAAGCAATTGTTACGATAAAAACCTTTGGTCATTGTCTGATGACACGACAGGGGATGCAAAAGTCTGGGTGGGGCTGCCATGCGGCCGTGATGGTTTGTTGGAGTTCATCATGTCTTCAATAGAATTGTGCGGAAAAGCGTCGGTCGTCCTGGAAACTGCGCGATTTGTTTAGATTAGTGTTCCAACCTAAATCGCTGGAATTCGTTATGGTTTTCTCCAATGTGGTAATATAATGCAATCTATATTAATATATACAGTGGATGCACTAGTTTCTAAGGCTTCTTGAAAATAAGATTTGGATTCCCGTCAGTCACTTGAATGATGACTATCAGAATATTCTCTCTGTTAAAGAGAGGATGGGAAGTAAAGAGAAATAAATTGAAAGAGAGGAAGAGAGAGAGAGCGCGCGAGAGAGAAAGAGAGAGAGAGAGAGAGAGAAGCCGTCCTTTCCACTGTTATAGGGTAATGGCTATATGTGCATCAGGAGTAGATAATAGGGAACCCCTAGGATAATAGGGAACCCTAGGATTCCCTATTATCTACTCCTGATGTGCATATATATACAGTGAACGATCATTCGCTTGCTGTGCCAAATTACACAACATCAATCTACTAACTAACATTTTGGCCCCAAATAATAGAATAAATCGTTTCGATAAATCAACTCTTCCAGTTCTCTTAGTTCTCCACCATCTCCCTCATGATGGTTTTTGCCTTCTTGCTTTACATTTATCTCTTTATTCTACTTTAACAATACCACTATGTATAATACCAATTATTTAATCAATCCCGCCTTATTCCACGTTATCAATCCCCTCTGTATCTCAGACATATTACAATCTTCTCCTTCTCCTGTTGCTGTTGTTGCTGCTTTTGCTGTTGTTCCTCCGCCCCCTTCTTCTTCTACTTTTCCATCTCATCTTCGAGTTCCAATATGCCCTTTATAGCACTTCCATCACACGCGTGTCCTTTTTATACCTTATCTTCGCCTACTGCTTTTCATAGCACACTCTATTTTTCTACCGCGCCTATCTTCCTCTTACATATTATATCTTAATTAACTCCTTTTAGCTTGTCTATTTGTTACCAATTCTGTCATATTTGTGTTAACTCTCCTTCATTCTAAGCACACTCCAAAGCCCTATTACATCCCATCCATCTATTTCTATACACTCTCCCACAGTCGTGACATTGATAAAAATCTATTAATTTAGTTAACACCAGGTAACCCAGATACAAATAAAACCCACACTGGAGGAAGCGCTGCATATATTTTTATGGTTAGTTATATTGACACATATGAATACGATGCTAATGGAAAAGCTGGCGCGATGCTCTTTCGTTCATTTCCGTGTGTGCAGCGGAAATATGAAAGAAAATTGAAAGCGATCAAATCGTGCGACTCCGCTGAATAATCAGGGAGATATGCAGCTCCTATTCAACGTGCATAGAGTGGCCAATAGTAATCGTATTTTACGGTTATTTCAGTTATTTGGCTTTTATTTTATTTCATTTTTCCAAAACTAGTGACATTATATATAATAATTATAATATTTGACGTAGGTGTATGAAATGGCTTGGTGACGTCATATAATCATACAATTTATTCGGTCATGACGAATATTGGATACGGTACTTGAGCCAAAGCAAGAATGTGCTATGGCGTGTGCTCAGTATAATAGCCACATTTACGTTATGAGTAGGTAAATACGCCGTTGGTACGCCGAGTTCGAGGTCTACCATGTATTTAGTAAAAACAAATGGTACCGAACAATTACTCATGGTAGCCGATATACATGACCAACTCGTTGCTTGCCATGCCCACAGTACTCCCTGTCTCCTATCTGACTGTGACCGAATGTGACACTGCGTAACGTTTCTGACACTGCGTAACAAGATGCGCTTTTATGGACGATGTTTGATTTGAGAGACCTCCATGGCGCTCAGTAAATTTTCTTACTTGATATATATCGATTCTGTCGGGAGGCGCTCTCTATCTCTCTAGTCAACAAAGATAAGGCCCAGTACGATAAGCACAGATACGTATACAAATATAGATCACTAGTTCAATCGTATCATGTAATATAAATTATTTTACGACACTCAGTGGCTAATCAAGGAACTTTTGTCGAGGTATGCTGTAACAAAGTTTGGAGCATGGGTTTGTAATGAGGAGTGGCGCCAATTCAATAGGTTTTAAAGTGGGATATTAGTTTGTTTTATGAAGATAAATTTACGATATTTAGAGTAACGCATCTCTAGATAGGCTCTAAAGTGGAAGCGTCTATGTGGAATTCTTCCATTTCAAAAAAGTCATGTGAAACGTATGAAACAAGGATCAAAACACGTAGGCACACACACACACACACACACACACACACACACACACACACACACACACACACACACACACACACACACACAC